ATGTGCTGTGTCCTCACTCTCTAACTATTTAGTTTCAAGGAATGACCCTGGGTTCTGGTATTAAGAGAAAAGGCAAAATCTTCTTGTTATCTACTTTCTCTACAAAATGCATAATTTTATCAATTTCTACAATGCCCACATAAAGTCAAGAAATATTAGCAATTTTAAAAGTATTGGGAATGCTGACTACACCAATATGAGAAGTCTGTTAGCCTATGTTCTCCCAAGGAATGGTGCTACAACAGTAAATGCCAGTTATGTTGCTTAAAGTTGAGTCCATGTGTATTTTATTAAAATATACAACAAAGCAAACAATAAGAGTTCCAATAAACTCTTTCCTATCATTAAGCTTTACATCTATAAATGTCCAAGTACAGTACCACAAAACCAAACGACTATCTCAAATATAAATTATTATAACCACAATTAATCTTAATTCATTGATAATTCAATGGAGAATAATCTTATCCACACCTATTGGTTCTTAGTGAAACAAAGGTCAGCGCATGACTGGTTACCTACAACTTGTCTAAGACAAGTTGGAATAAGCTACCATTCAGGGATGTGAAGAATAGACATAAATTGCAGTTTGGATCAACTCATGATAAGCCTTTTTTGATTTACACCGAAGTCAACCATCTGTCAACATACACTAAAATTATTATATAACTACTGGTGTTTTGCAATGCAAAATAGACTAGGAGCTATGACATTATCTTTCATTTGGAATTCTATTTCTGGCAGTCTGGTCCAGGCATGTGTGCCAGCAATGGTGAGGATAACATCATGATTTATGCTTGTGCCCTGATAAAGACATAATTTTATTTTGTTGCAAATCTCATGAGTTCACTATAAGATTGTGGGAAATGCCAAGCCCACTCCACCCAAATTATTAGCCAATAAAATATGTGAAGTCTGTTTTCCCATTACCAATCAAACGTTACATAATATACATCATAAAACATAAGTAGGAGTCAAGGCTTTCCTTCCAAGTTTATGATAAGTTGTTTTTCCTATTGATGGGGAAACCATTAAATTAACAAGGACTTCAAGTAAGAGGAAATAATTAAATTAACAAGGACTTCAAACACATAATCAAGAAATCTGTGTTTTGTCCATAAAAGTAGAACTAAGAATTGTTAAAAAAAAAAGAAACAAAGCAAAAAAAACCTTAAAATAGGAAAACCAGAAGAATAAACAAACTATATTCACCAATAATCAAAAAGGGTTTTGTACTACCCAAAAAAACATTAACTAAATCCAGCACTTCAATGTAAGTTGATCCATCAATACCACTCTCCTACACATTATTAAACTATTTCCCAGAAACAGATTCTATGTTTTGGTGGAAAGCTGCAATGCAAGCACCTTTACAGAAACCTGAGCTTTGTCGTGCCTTTCTGAAAAAGTGTGGGTGATTGAGAAGTTCCCAGAAGACTTCAAGGACACCATTATCATCATTATTTTCAAAAAAAGGGGGAGGGAGAACAGACTGTAGAAACTATCGAGGTATTTCCTTTTGAACCTACGCTGGAAAAAGCCTCCCAATAATCCTTGCAAACCATCTTCTACCTATTTCCGAAGACATCCTCCCTGAACCCCAGAATGACTTCCACCCCTCCAGTGGAAGAGTGGATATGATCTTCACTTTTTTTTTCTTTTTCTTTCTTTTTCTTTTTAATCTCTGTGTTTGTTTTGCTCTGTTAGAATTGTAATACAATGGTTGCTGATGACACGATAAATATATCTTCACTGTACAAGAGTTCCAAGAAAAATGCAGGGAACAAAGTCAACTTCTGTACATGGCATTCATTGACCTTGCAAAAGCTTTCAACATAGTGAATTGTAATGCTCTTTGGACCATCTTCCTGAAAATCAGATGCCCCGATATATTTGTGAACATCCTGAGGCTTCTACGTTATGACTTTGATGGCAACAGTCTTAGCTACAGCTCCCAAAATGACCTAATTAAGGTGGGATCAGGTGTCAAACAGGATTGGTCAAACATTGCAATTACAGACATAAAAATATACAAGTAATAATTATAAACAAATACATAATACTATAAAACAAACTATAAAACTTCTTATCAACTGGGTGACCAAAATATGGAAAAGGAACTTGTGTTCAAAAATGTACATAAAATGTACAATCTTTCAAAGCCTTCAATTTTTATAGTTTATTGAACAGATTAAAGGCCACTTAGAAACTGTATGTAATTATCTTCAAAGGAAGAAAGTTAACAATTGCTCAAAGGGCTCTATAATCTAGTAGAAGATACAATAATTAAAAAAGTAACCACGTTATTAAAAAAGTAACCACGTAAAACCTTTCTTTATGTAGGTTTTGGCAAAGACATTAAAAAAGCACTTAACACTGAGTGTGACCCTGCCTGTCCTGATTTCCTTCTCTCTAGTTGGACAAGCTTTAAGCAAAGCAACATTGGGGGCCTTGTTATGGTGAAGGAAGACCCCAAAAACAAAACAACAGTCTCTATACTTCTACAGAGCAGGCCTCAGATCCCAGATTTAATATACAACAACCAAAACAAACACAAAACCAGAGACAGAAAACCAAGTAATTAGTTGGGCAAACAAGAAGAGGTAAGGGAAAATGAGAAAGTTGCTACTTCATTCACATTGAGGACTCATGTCTTATTATATAGAATCTGACAGGCTATGGAATCCTGGGACACCAGGACTCTTTGGCAGAGAAAGCTAATCACCTTGTAAAACTACAACTCGTAGCACTCAGCCATAGCAGTTAAAGTGGTGTCAAACTGCATTAATTCTACAGTGTAGACGGTAGGCTTGTGCATTTTGGCTGAACCTCAAGCTGTTTCTGCTATCCAGATTCGGGGGGAGGGGGGCAGTTCTGTTTTCACGCACCTCCCAAAAATGGGCTGGTGTCTGAATGGGCATTTTTGATCCACAGCTGGAAAATCCAGATATATCCGGGCCATTGGCAGCAATGGGGCGGAGGGGCTTCACGGGCTCCCTTTCCTGTAATTTTCAGGGCTATTGGGATGAAAATTGCCTCAATTAGAGGACACATCTACCACTGGGTCATCCCTTGATTTTTAGGATTTTTTTCTTTCTAGAAATAAAATCTTCTTTAAAAAAAATCCCAAAAAGTTATGCCCCGATGGCCCCACCCTGTAACTTCTCCAGGAGCAGCAGCAGGGCACCATTCTCCCTGCCAAATGTGAAAAATGCACTTCCACATCACACTGCCCACCCAATATTACACTTTCTTTACTAATAAAAAAACAGCAACTTCTTCCAAAGCTTTTGCAGTTTGCATCTCTTGTTCCCACAACATACTGGAAGAGGCCACCAGCCCACCGTCCACAAGCAAGCAGCATGTCCCCTTATTAGAAAAACATTTCTGTATGATCTAGAAATTACTATGTATTGGTGGTAAGTTTAGGTTAGTAGGTAGGTAGGCAGGTAGTGTTTAATGAAGCCTTGCTTTTTGCTGGAATTCCTATAATTATTAATGACAAAAATCTTTTAAAAGTACTACTTTGATGAAAGAGAGGAGGGAGGAGAGATAAGAGAAGAAGGCTTTAGTAGAGGCTAAAGGGTGACACAAAGCTCAGAGCCACCCTAAAAGAAAAGCAGACCCACCCACAAGTCCCCAAACACCGTGCAACCACCCACCAATACTTTTCAACTTCCTGTCCCACTAAATAAAGAATTAAGAAAATAAAGAAAAAGTAAATAGATACATTGCTAGAGGGAAGCCAAGCCAAGCTAAAGATGAGTGTGAACTGCGAGGCAATCAGTCTGAAGCACCTCTCTCTTGAGCCACGACGCAACTGAGAAATGCAGGCACTCACCCCATTAAATAGACACAGCTTGCGTAGATGTGTCATGGCTTTCTTCTATTCTGATTAGTCCAAAAGGCAAGGCTTATAGGGAAACCCCGTGCAAGCATGCGGCAGCCTCTCCATGTGCTGCATGCTCCCGAATAGAGCAGAAAGAGCCATGAACGGGAGCCACGTGGTTCGGCTCTATTGAAAAATCCATAGAGTCAGAGCCCTTGCCATTACAGGCATCTGAAGAAGCCCATCTAGTAGATGAATCCCAAGAAAGGACGCAAGGACAGAGTTGGGGAGATTGGAATGAGGAGAACAGTAGAATATGAGGCAGGATCAATGACTCAGAAGTTGTTTTAAAAGTGCTAGACCTTCCTACTGCTAATGTATGCCTCACTCACATCACAAATGTGTCTCTAGAACAAGCACTGGCAGTCGGCTACAACCCATTTGTAGGTGTTTTGTCCCCTTTTGTCATTTTATACAGCTAACATTAGACACATACATCTATACATACATGGACATATAATGAAAGATGGTTAAATATTGCACATTATGCTTAAAAGATTAAAATCCTTTCCTTTCTCCTCGTGCATAAACCAAACACCTATATTTTACAAACTATTTCAATGTGGCTTATTCTTCATGCTCAATAGATTCCACAAACTAATATAAAAGAAATTGGTTAATTCACAATCTTTTTTCCTTGCATTTTCAAGGCAGCTGAGCTTATGTTTGTCTAATAGACTGACTAATACTATGGGACAAGAATTTCAAACTAACCCAGTAAACAGGAACATACACCCTTGGAAGAGAACATATCATTGTATGTATTTATAGAACTGGGACAAATTTGTTCAAAATAATAGAAAGGAATTGTCAAGATCTGTCTGTCACAGGGGGAAAAAGTGTCACCATTACATGATAGCTGGAAGATAAGAATGATTTCAGTTTCATTTTGAAGATATAAGTGCGGTATAGTGCAGATCATAGAACTATAGAATTGGAAGAAACCATAAGGACCATCCAGTCCAATCCACTGCCATGAAGGAATATACAATCAAAGCACTTCCACCACATTGCCATGTAGCCTCTGTTTAAAAGTCTCCAGAGAAAGAGACTCTACCATATTTCATTGATGGAAATTATTCTAACAGTCATGTAAACTGGAATACTTTACCTCACTGATCGGTTATCTTCTTCAGATTTCGTGGTACTGTGGGCAGTACTCCCTCTAGGGAAGGATTTACGTTCAGCAGTGTAAGACCCACTCTCTAGACGCTTGACTTTACCTGAAGGAAGACGAGCTGAAATAAATATAACATTAATTAGCATCGTACTTTTGATTAACAGAAGCTGATTAGAACCATACCTAAAACACAATCTGAACTATCGATATTCCCACATTGCAAAATAAAAAAAGAAGTACAGCAACAAATATTCCTGCTTCCTAATAGATGTCTGTATCTGGATCTACCCCAAGTTTCCTGCAATTATAATATTACTACAACTAAACTAGATTTTTTAAACCAAATTGCAGGTTATCACTGTACTAAGTACAGCAGTAGTTTAGTAGTATCAAATGTTAATTTATGAGACTGTCCGGCAGGCTTGGCTTAAAGGATTGCTCTTAACAGGATGAAATAGCTATCACAATGAAGAATGAAATAAGGAAAAGAAAGACTTAATCAAGATGAAGGAAAATAATGTACAGCTTGTATAAATGCAGGATATTTGGCAAATGGTAGCAGCCCCCTGTGCCCATATTATCATACCTGCTGAAGTGCTGCCTGCTGGTTTCTCCCGCTCAATGTGTCCTTCTGTTTTGATTATTGTGCGACTGGGTTTGGGCCGGTGGCGCTCTACATATTCTCTCTGGTATAAAACAGTTCGCTTTACAGCAGCTTGAGGAAGCAACCAGAAAATGATGTTCAAAACCCTACCCCATCTCTTGGAAATGTATATCCTCATTATTTTTTGAGGACTGGGAGCTCAATTAAACAAGTCTTATAATCATTGTGCACTGGATCCTGGTTGTCTTTACAATATTACGGAACTTCTAGTGGGTATTGTGGAGCAAACTGGGTTAATCTAATTAAAATCCACATTATAAAAAATCAGTGGATGTTCCAGTGCTTGCCTAAAACTCCCAAGCAAATGCTATGGGTTGAACATAGTGTGGCATGGGCGCCCTGCAATGGCCAGGAGCTCACACAGGTCTCTGCAGCCACAATAGCAATGCAGTAACAGTCTAACAGGGCCGGTGCAGTCTCAGTCCGGATGGATCAAATGAACTCTGACCCACAGCCACTAGAGATTTGGGACAAGGTGTGTGGCCACCTCTGGAGTGGCCCCGAATTAATCTGCCAGTGCAGATAAAGTCTTAAAGAGGTAACTTTGTCACCACAGTCCAGCCATCTTACAAATGCTGAAAAAGAGCAGGACAGCAGATACTTAAAAATAGCTAATAAGACATAGGAGGAAAGTGTCAGAGTATCCATGACTAACAACTGTATAAATGGTTAAGTGTCCTGAGAATTCTTGAAAATGACAATTTCAAATAGGGAGATGCAATCTTTAGGTATTACACTACTTACTAAGTTAGAGAGCACATTATAAATTCAATACTTCAAAAAGGAAAATTCTGAAGAACAGAAATACCAAGTGTGAAGTAAAATGCACATTATTGAAAAAGGACCCTATAATAAGTATGATTGAGAACCGAGAGAATTGCTGTTGCACCTCACACCAGGAAACACCTCTGTACTTAACCACCTCACAGTAGTCCAGGTTAAATCAGCAAAACAGTTTACTGAAGATTATATAAAAAGCAAACAGCAAAAACTGTAAAAAATTCAAAACTCAAGTGTATCAATAATCCATAAGGTTCCAGATGCAAGAATAATCAAGAGTCCCAAGGCAGCAAGGAACCCAAAACAGGAATATAAGAAACCCCAAAAAACATAGAATCCAATACAGAAATACAGGAACAATCCCTGGTACTTGAAAACAAGAACATGAACAAAGACATGAAACTAGAAGTCTATAAGCAGGCATGACTTGCCAAGAGCTGTAGTCTCCATCATCGACGTTGACCAGACTGCTGGGCAAAACTCCCGGCCTCCCTAATATACCCAAAAAATCATGTCTTTTCATAATAAGCTCTGTGACATCCGTATTCTTTGATCAGCCCAAAGTCTACTAAAACTAGGTCTCCTATCAATGAACTCATTATATTATCTTGAAGTTCATTATTCTCGGCACCTTGAGTTTCAGCCTCTGAACTCCTTTCCCTAGAGATCGGCTCCACTGCATCCTCTGGAATGTGGCCTTGACTAGTTGGAAACATAGACTGCTCAGTTTCAGGACTTAAAATCTCAGGTCCAGAATCCCCATTAACAGTAATATCAGACTCCACTATGGGCTGAACTACAACAATAGCATTAAATGTTATTCATTGTTTTATTTTATAATTTCAATTCAACTTCATTACTTCCATGTTTAGCATAGTTTAGAAGTTTTGAAAGTTACTTGTTTCATCAAAAGATTGAAGAGGACAATTTCCTCTTTAGGAATATTTGAAAAACACTGGGACAAAACCTGATGGAAATGATTTAGCTCCAATTAATTAACTCAGGGTGCATCCCCAAAACCCACTGGATAACTTAGATATGTACAGCTTTAACAATGTAACAATACCCTGGGTCCTATAGATATATTTTTAGTTTCCCCAAAGTCACAAACAAAACTTTGGTAAAACTGTGATTTTAGCAACATAATGAGTTAATCACTAAAGCCCTGCATTTAATGTTTTGAAATTGCATTAACTCTTTAATCTGAGAAGAGTTTTTATAGATTCTTGATACTTCCGGGCTTAGGACTCAACTCACCTTCAAAATCTGGATCCGAATGCGGCACAGTAGGCTTCTGTTTACCAAATCTAGCTTTTGAGCACACCTTTTCCTTGAGATCCCATACTCTCAATTGTATGTTGTGGTCCCTTAGCTTCATTAGGAAGTCATTGGTGACATTAATTTCAACACTATGGTTCCATGAAACCCAGATCTGGTCATTCTCAAGCCATGGTTTCACAGCCTGTTTTAAAAAACTAGAGTTACTAAAACTGTGCATTCTGAAAGCAATGACTGCAATTGTTATTGATTTCCTTTTAAAAGAAACCAAGATGTACAAGCCGGTCATTATATATATATATATATATATATATATATATATATATATATATATATGCACACACACACACATACTGGTTTGATGTTAGAACATTAAACAGTCCTGGAGGAAAAGAATAAACTGTAGATCTATTGTGGAGAAATTGATATCGGTTTAACTTGGAACACTGATTAAGAGTTTCAGCAATGAAATTGAGTCCCAGAATTGAGTTGCCACAGGAGAGAAGGCTCTGAGATGTTCACTTCTGAAGAAGTGAACATCTCAGAGCCTTCTCTCCTGTGACAACTCAATTCTGGACTGCCCTCCCATTGCAGGTCCAATCCACACTGACACCGACTCCTCCTCAGTGCCAAATTAAAATACAGCTAAAGCCTTTAGTGTCTAATGGTTTATTTACAAAATTTAAACTATTTCAAACTTTTTTAAAAGTTGCTAAGATATTTTAATATGTTTTAGACTGTTAATAATAATAATAATAATAATAATAATAATAATAATAATAATAATAATCTTTATTTATAACCCGCCACCATCTCCCCAAAGGGGACTCGGGGCAGCTAACATGAGGCCAAGACCAAAAATAATACAGCATAGTTCGACACAAAACAAAGCAGGAGAAATACATCATAACATAAAATATATAAAATAACAAAAAAGAACCATTACAAAATAGCATAGTAAAATCAAACACAAAGGACGGGCCAAATGTATGAGATAAAATGTTCAAAGGCAAAACCCTGGGTGATATAGAAATAAAAAGTGTATTTGTGAAGGAGGAGTCCAAGAAGGAGAAGCAGTGGGATTTGGCCTTTATAAAGGACAGGGGAAGGTGCAACATGAGAGGGCAGCTGTGGGTATCTAACTTTCCATTGGTTTAACTTCAAAATAGGAGCTCCCGGTGGCGCAGTGGGTTAAATCCTTGTGCCGGCAGGACTGAAGACCGACAGGTCAGAGGTTCGAATCTGGGGAGAGCGCAGATGAGTTCCCTCTGTCAGCTCCAGCTCCCCATGCAGGGACATGAGAGAAGCCTCCCACAAGGATGGTAAAACATCAAAACATCCGGGCATCCTCTGGGTAATGTCCTTGCAGATGGCAAATTCTCTCACACCAGAAGCAACTAGTTTCAAAACTTTGAAACTAGATATAGGCTAGATTATGAACATGTTAACTAATTAAAATGAAGTAATGGCTTTGAGTGGCAACAGCAGTAACAGTAAGTTCACTGGGAGCTGGGATCTATTCATTATGTTTACACGTGAAGAATTCATACCTCGGATCCCCTCGGGGAGAAAGGGCAGGTTACAAATAAAGTGTTGTTATTGTTACCTTATTCTCCCCTTAATAAACTTTAAAAAAAAAACCCAATATGTTCGCAAACCACCATGCTTTAAAAAAAATAAGCCATCACTATCCAGTTATTCCTTTGTTGCCGTTGCCAACTGTTGTCAAGTAGGCTTCAACTAATGGTGACCCTATAAACACGAGACCTCTGACTCACCCTACCACCAAAAAATCCTGGTCCACTCCTGCAGATTCAGGGAGTAGCTTTCTTGACTGAGTCTGTCCATCTGTATTGAAGTCTTCCTCTTTTACAACTTTTTAGGATTTTTATATCATTTCCCCTATGTTTTAATCAGTTAGCTGTGATATCCTGTTAACTATTATGTTCATTATACAGCTTTCAAAAGTAATTTTTAATTTTTCTTTGAACTGTGTAAGAAAATAGCTGTTACTGCAGTTGCCATTCAAACCTGTTATTTTATATTAATTAATTAATCTATTTATAATTCACTCTACAATGAAAAGAAAAAACTACTTTAAATTAGTGAAATGTGAGAAGTTCACTAACCTCTACACAGCAACTTAAAGAATACCATTATTCCAAAGCTACCATTATTCCATAGTAGTAGTAGTAGTAGTAGTAGTAGTAGTAATATGGTTGTTTTATTAGTATTCCACTACCATCTGGCTGGTGCTTTTGCAATTACATAGTACAGTATTTCTCAACCTGGGGGTCAGGACCCTTGGGGGGGGTCATGAGGGGGTGCCAGAGGGGTCGCCAAAGACCATCAGAATTTTTTCTGTTGATCATGAGGTTTCTGTGTAGGAAGTTTGGCCCAATTCTATCATTGTTGGGGTTCAGAATGTTCTTTGATTGTAGGTGAACTATATATCCCAGTAACTACAACTCCCAAATGTCATGGTCTATTTTCCCCAAACCCCACCAGTGTTCACATTTGGGCATATTGAGTAGCCGTGCCAAGTATGGTCCAGATTAGTCATCATTTAAGTTCACAGTGCTCTCTGGATGCAGGTGAACTACAACTCCAAAACTCAAGATCAACGTCCATCAAACCCTTCCAGTATTTTTTGTTGGTCATAGGAGTCCTGTGTGCCAAGTTTGGTTCGATTCTATTGTCGGTGGAGTTCAGAATGCTCTTTGATTGTAGGTGAACTATAAATCTCGGTAACTACAACTCCCAAATAACAAAATCAAAAGCTCCCCCCCCCCCCAACCCCACCAGTATTCAAATTTGGGCATATCGGGTCTTTGTGCCAAATTTGGTCCAGTGAATGAAAATACATCCTGTATATCAGATATTTGCATTATGATTCATAACAGAAGCAAAATTAGTTATGAAGTACCAATGAAAATAATTTTATGGTTGGGGGTCACCACAACATGAGGAACTGTATTAAAGTTCGCAGCACTAGGAAGGTTGAGAAACACTGACCTAGTGCCACCTTTAATGAGCTGTGTGAACTGTCATCAAAAAATGAATAAAATTATTAAGGAAGGAAAGGCTATTATGGTTTTCAGATTCCATGATGCTCTCTGGATTGCCCCCAAATGACCTAAATTCCAAGATGGAATGGTATCTAGTGCTCGCCTAGTACACTTCTGACTCAATCTCTGCAAACATGGATACATCAGAATTGATTGAAGGATGCTGCTCCTCTGGACTATGGTTTGTTATGAAGCTAGAAGCTTAATCTTTCTAATCCATGATCACAGGACAACAGAATAACAGGCTTCTGTAGCATTCGCTCCAAATTTAGAAGACACATAATACATTTCCAGCATTGTCTCACAACCTTATCTGCGCTCTCTCTCAATCATATCTGCACTCACTGAAGTATGCAGCGTGGGTGACCTTTTCGACCTGGGCCGCTCACTGTCTTTTGGAGTCACTGACTGATACTGAACAGAAGAAAAGGTGCAAAGGCAGAAGGAGGTGAGATTGACAGGGAAAAATGAAACATGGTAAAACAGCATGTTTCAACTATATATTTCAATTAAGGTATTAAGCTTCAAGAATGATTCCCACTGATTCATGGCATATTAAATATTTAAAAATCAATATCGGGATACTTTTTAAAAAAATATGATAAGCAATATATAATACTTTGAAAGCATAAGACAACTCTCAAAAACAGTGACTATACAAAGAAAAGCCAAAGTGGTGAGAGCCACACACTAAATTTAATTCAATTAGTGTAAAAGTGAATAGCAAATAATACAAGCTTTGTGTGTATATTTGTTTTCCTTCAAGTCACCTGTTGACTTATGGCAACTCCATACATTTCATAGTGTTTTCTTAGGCAAGGAATACCAAGAGGTAGATTTGCAGTTACTTCTTCTGAAATCAATTTAACCAATACAACAGTCTCCCACCGAAATATTGACCCTCTTCGCTTTCAAAATTAGATGGGATCTGCTTTATACAATCATTGCTGCTAAATTATTAAACATAGCTGGGTGGAAAATGTCCATGTCTTAGTCATATAAATATTGGAGATACATTGAATTTGTCCCTTGTATATCATGAAATCTATATTCTACTTGGAGGCAGTCTGAGGGGGTCTATTGGAGGGACTCATTGTGCGACTCATTCCATTGGCTTAGCACAGTGGTTCCCAACCTGTGGTCCGTGGATCACCAGTGGTCCGTAAGAATGAAAATATGGTCCGCAGAGTCACAATTACTACACTGTTGTCTTGAAATCATGCAGCAACAAGAGCAGCTGGCCTCGTGAAACCCTCTTATAGTGCCAAGGCAATTGTGATGTTGGGAGGGGAGAGGCTGACTACCCATTAAATATTACTACTACCACGTCAACTCTAGATTATTAAATATGATTTTCTGTGGGAGAGCAGATAGCAACTACTGGATGGCATATGTTCTGTATCAGAATCTAGAGTTGATGTGGTATATCCAATGCAATTTTCTGAATCAGCACTCCAAATTAGCAAACTGAACCTAAAGGTGACCAAAACTGATTAGTAACCGTTTTGGTAGTAACATCCCTAAGAGTGGTCCCTGATCAAAGTGGTCTCTGGTCAAGTGGTCCATAGTAAAAAAAAAAAAAAAAAAGGTTGGGAACCACTGGCTTAGCAGGATGTACTTACTATTTGCCTTCTCGCTTCCCAGAACTTTCCCTCTAGGGTCAATCCTTGTTCATAATACCAAATTATTATTCTTCCACCATTGCTTTGTCTTTCAGTATCAAATCTATTATGTTAATTTTAACCAAAAAAAAAAAGGGTCTCCAGTGCCTTCTAGCATCAATGTAGCCAGGTGACCATCTTCCTTCCTCACCAAAAAAGACCAAGTCCAAAAACAATTTATTATCTCCTTCTTTCAAAACAGTCTCTCCTCAGGGTCGAAAGCTACCCAAGGGCCACAAAAACACAGAGGAATTGCTCCTCGCAGCCCTCAGAGACTATGGTATCTTTTCCATTAAAAATAACGGTTACATTTTTAAAAAAGTGGGAGAACATGGTAAAGATCTTCTAGGTCCAATTGAGGGGCTTGTGCAATCCCTGGACACTGAGCATTTGCCCTCCTCTACCTTTAATTATATAAGAAGGATTTGAAACAAGAATGCCTCTGTGCAGGCTGCTGCTGACCAGCTATGCCCTCCTCTAGGAAACTCCATTTCCTCTTTCATTCATTTTCCCACCATTGCTGAGCCACTAGATATTGCTCTCCATTTGCAGTTGGTATGCTTGCTTAGTTCTTCTCTGAATGATACTCCCACCTTGCTCTCATTTTCTTCCCTTGACAAACTGTGATTTCTAAAGTATGCTAATATTGCCTGTGATGCCGTTCTGGCTAAACAAGTTGAGCCAGCAATAAAATGGTGCAGTAGATAATTTCCCCATTAAATATTTCCAGCCACTGTGTTCCATTCTCCCCTTGTTTACCCTAATTTTTGTTCTGCCTCTACATACAATAGATGCAGACAGTTTACAACAATACTTTAACACAAAAATACAATATACTTAAAAACAAAACACAATTATACAATATCATTAACTTAAAATGACCGGTGTCATAAATCGAACAAATGCCAAAAGGATTACATGATCCACTCAGCTGCATGTGTAATCTTGTACCTCTTTTCCTCCGGGTTCAAAACAAATTTAAATAGTAAATAAATAAGGTTTATTCTTACCCTAGACTCAGTTTCCAAATATAGCCTTGCCAATGAGCCTAGTAAGACCACATCTAATTTTCGAGGATCAGTGTCATCCGGCAGAAGAAAATATTCAATATGATAATAACGATGCATTTTTGGAATAATTCCTTCTCGTGTTCTAGGTGTTGTTGTTCCTTGAGTTTCGTGTCTAGACCAGTTCTTTGGTGCTAAAAAAAATATTGCAGTAGAATTTTTAAAACCATCCCAAATGTTTAAAAAAATAATTTCCATTTTAAGTAATAGCACACATAAGTGGCAAGAGCCCCACTGTAAGGTACCTTATATGAAAGAGTTAGCACTTAAACAGAAATCTGAAATCTAACTGGGCATGTCATGCTCTTGGATGCTTGATTTGGCCCCAGAAGATGTATGAGATAATAAGTTAATTTTTACTCAACCTGAGAGGTACAGAATACTTTTTAAAAGAATTTGGCAATTAAATGACCAAGGGTCGCAAGCAATGCTATGTACCTACTTTGGATTACAAGTGGAAGAGCCAAGGAGACAGAGAATGTGCAGGTAACGATATGCTCCTGGTCAAGTTCTTGACTTCTCACAGAGTAACAGCGTGTCACGCTTTCATCTTCGGGAGTCGGGTAACCACCCCCACATGTCTCTGGGCTCTCCGTTTCGTAAGTGCTCTCTGAATGCGGAGAATTGCGATCTACATACTCTCCTTCTTCTTCAGGATCAAGCAAGTGACTTGCCATCCTGTGACAGAATGATCAGGTCATCTGCTGTATCATTTTTTACACAAATAAAATATGCAATCAACATATTCACCAACACTACAGAAGAAGCCCCAAAATATCTCCCAATATTTTTTCATAAATCCCACTGTTCTGTCGCACCCAAGTTGCTTTCAAGGTCTCTTTGGCATTAATGTGTCTTAACTCTCTGTCAGCTTGGGGGACCTGAATTGCCTTCTTTTGCTATTGCTTTGAGGAAAGGGTAATGATTTATTGGCAGATCTTGGGTCTAACGCCACCCAGGCACTAGCTTGATTTCCCCATAACAAAGTTCATATTTAAAACTTTAATGATTCTGAAAATGCCAGGAACATGGCCATACAGGCTGGAAAACGCACAATCCAAAAATGAAACTCTTTCTGCCATACAAATAAATGATTGGCTCCAGAAAAGCTGATATCTGCAACAAAGCAGATATTATCTCAATGCTGAGGGATCCTCGAATTTGTAATTTAGTGAGGCACTAGCATGCTTTGGAAGCTGATATATGCAACAAAGCATACAGAGATGCAGGTCTCCAGCCTTACTGGACTATGTCTCATTAGATTAGGACCAGGTCTTTAAACAACAAAGTAGTCATATCAAGAAAAAAAATAAAATAAATTGAAATGCCTTGGGACTGTAATTTGTGATGATTTCTTATGGGCTCTTCCAGGTCAATTTTGAAAAACCACGAGTTCTTGTAGCGTTGCTCCTTCAGCTTCACTGGTTGCTGTCCTTCTCCACATCCAGTTGTTCTAGTCGAAGCATAGTCAAACTTTGGCCTCCATGTGTTTTGGACTTCAACTCCTACAATTCCTAACAGCCTATTGGCTATTATGAATTGTAGGAGTTGAAGTACAAAACACCTGGATGGCCAAAATTTGCCCATGCCTGTTCTGGTCATTCTCTGGGTAAGATTTTTCTTGGAATTACATTAGCAATTTTAGGATTTTTTTAAAAAAAACTGAGACATGATTTGCTAATGTTGTTTTATGGTTTAAAGAGCAAATTATCCCCTCTCAAAAAATTTTTTAAAAATAGCATCATAGTGCTAAAGTACCTTTTAAATTAGATTGGAACAATAAATTAAATCAGAATTAATAACGACATGCCACTTGAGGGTGAACATAAAATGTTGTAATTGCTAGCAAATAGTATGGGATACTAGAAACTTTGGGTATTTTTTTAAAGCACCAGAACTACAGGAATAAATATTGCTACTCCCCAACACATATGACCCATATGGAATAGGAATTTGGTGGTCTCCAATGTTCAAACTACTACTATCCATGTTGGGATGTTGACCCATCCCTACACTTACTTTCCCTATTAATATTTAGCCTTTTAATACTTCTTTATATGCTCTCTGTACAATGTGAAAAGACAAGCTAGAAAACTATAGAAGCATTGAGTGCTGCCAATGCATGTGCGCCTATTGAATGAACTCCAAAAAAAAAGTTAAGTAAATTTAACTTTGAAATCAATGTACCATTAGCAAATACTCTTGACTAATTTTAATGAGCTTCACGCTTGACTTTACTTACCCTGGATTGCCCCCAATATATGCATCTGCAGTGCTTAGCTTTTCCCATCACTGTGCAATCACCATAAAATAAAAACACTGCCTAATCAAAAAACCACTATGTCTCCAATGTGCAAGCAGGACAATTAACATTGCCTAGTTGCATGGGAAAATCAGGATGCCACAAAATGCAGCAGCAGAGCAAAATTAGATATTTACTCAAGTTTGCTCTTTAGATATTACCTCATTTGCTGCCCATGGGAAAACTCTGTCTGCTGCCATTTTTACTGAGTATTTGCAAATGCCCGTCAATGGCTCTACTTTCCATTGCTTTAATTTCCCACGAAAGCTAGTTGATGATGGGCAAAGGGACCTTACTTAGGATAAACATTCTTGCTTCTATACTTACCTAGACTAAGGTCCCACCAACACTGACCATTTAATGCAGTCTCAAACCGATATTGAAGAAAGTGGTTTCGCTGTGTCGATGATTACACAGGAAATCCTGGAACCAATCTGAGGCACTGATGAACATTAAGAGTTTTCTTTTTTGGTGGGAGTTTGTTGTATGGCTGCTACAGTTTGAAGCCAACTTTAAAGGTAAAAGTAAAGTAAAAGTAAAGATTTCCCTTGACATTAAGTCTAATGTCCAACTCTGGGGGGGGGGAGGGGGTTGTGCTCATCTCCATTTCTAAGCCAAAGAGCCAGCATTGTCCATAGACACCTCCAAGGTCATAACACTTTATTTGTACCCCACTACCATCTCCCCAAGGGACTCGGTGCAGCTTACATGAGGCCGAGCCCAAACACAACAATACAAGCAACAATAACAACAATACAAGCAATTAAAAAACATATACAACATCACCAATAAAACAACACACAATTAAAAACAGTGGGAAGGCCAAATGTAGAGTTAAAATTGGAAATAATGCTGAGACATGAACAAAAGGTGATACTGCCAACTGCGACCGTACCTCGTAAAGGCCGATCTGGTCAGGGTGGTCCATGCCTTGCTCATCTCCAGATTGGTTACTCTAATGCGCTCTACGTGGGGCTGCCCTTGAAAACGGCTCGGAAATTCCAACTGGTCCAACGGTTGGCGGCCAGGTTGTTAACTGGTGCTCCTTACAGAGAGAGGTCAACCCTCCTGTTTAAGGAGCTCCATTGGCTGCCGTTCATTTTCCGGTCCCAATTCAAGGTGCAGGTGCTTACCTACAAAGCCCTAAACGGTTTGGGACCCGCCTACCTGCGTGACTGCATCTCCGCATATGAATCCATACAATCTCTCCGATCATCTGGAGAGGCCCTGCTCACGATCCCATCTGCGTTGCAAGCGCGTTTGGTCGGGACAAGGGACAGGGCCTTCTCTGTGGTAGCCTCCCGACTCTGGAACTCTCTCCCGAAGGACATCAGACAAGCCCCAACATTGGCAGTCTTTAGGAAGAGCTTGAAGACCTGGCTGTTCCAGTGTGCCTTTCCAGAATAGGAAACTCCTAGCATCATGTCCCAAATGCACTTTATTAGATTTAAGATTGTCTGCACACCGTACCTATCTCTAAAATCCTCTCCATTTCACCTGTCATGTCCAGCACTTATTAAATTTTATTCATTACATTTGGCCCGTCGTGGTATTATTGTGTAATGTTTATTGCTATCGCTTTAATGTTTATTGTTTTGCTTTATCATAGAATCATAGAATCAAAGAGTTGGGAGAGACCTCATGGGCCATCCAGTCCAACCCCCTGCTAAGAAGCAGGAATATTGCATTCAAATCACTCCTGACAGATGGCCATCCAACCTCTGTTTAAAAGCTTCCAAAGAAGGAGCCTCCACCACACTCAGGGGCAGAGAGTTCCACTGCTGAACGGCTCTCACAGTCAGGAAGTTCTTCCTCATGTTCAGATGGAATCTCCTCTCTTGTAGTTTGAAGCCATTGTTCCGCGTCCTAGTCTCCAGGGAAGCAGAAAACAAGCTTGCTCCCCCCTCCCTGTGGCTTCCTCTCACATATTTATACATGACTATCATATCCCCTCTCAGCCTTCTCTTCTTATGAGTTTTATTGTTGTATTTGTCATGCTGTTGTTTTTTGAGGGCCTTGGCCTTTTGTAAGCCGCACCGAGTCCTTCGGGAGATGTTAGTGGGGTATAAATAAAGTTAATAATAATAATAATACTGGTGTTTGTGGAAGGGCATAAGAGCAGACCTAAAGAAATGTAAAGTCATGTGGCCAGCATGACTGCATGGAGCGTCATTACCTTACCTATTGATTGACTCACATTTACATGTTTTTGAACTACTAGGTTGGCAGAAGCTGCGGCTAACAATGAGAGCTTGCCCTGCTCCCAGGATTCAAACCACCAACCTTTTGGTCAGCAAGTTGAGCAGCTCAGTAGTTTAACCTGCTGTGTCACCACTTTAAAGTGCATTAAATGGTCAGTGAGGATGCAAAGAATGAGGAAGTACTTCCTCAGTGTCACAAATAGACAGGCGTGGGCAAACTTGGGCCCTCCAAGCCGCTTAAGCGGCTGAGGGGGAAAAGGAAGGGGCCTGAGGCTGTTAGGAATGGTGGGAGTTGGAGTCCAAAACGCCTGGAGGGCCCAAGTTTGCCTAGAGGCCTGGGCCCATCATGTCCCCTCCCTGCAGGTCACTAGGGGAGTGGTTCAGCCCCTTTTCAGAGAGCCAGAAAGGGTGACCTCACTGTTTACCTCCGAGAAGCGACAGAGGCCTCCTTCCTCCAAGAAGCCTCGCCAGGAAACGCGCAGGAAGCGCCCCCAAAGGCGCCCTCACTCTCCCCTCGCCTCCATGCTTCCTTCCTCTCTCCTTCCGCCCCTCACAATCCCATTCTCTTCGCTTCCGACGGCGAAAACACACCGCCTGGGTCAGCCTGCGGTTTGAAGTTGCCAAGGAAGAAGCGGGAGAATAACGGGGACGCGAGAGGATTGAATTCAGCCGGTAGGCTGTTAGGAATTGTGGGAGTTGGAGCCCAAAACACCTGGAGGGCCCAAGTTGGCCCATATCTGTATTAGAGTCCCATGATCCCATAACTATTAGCTGTTAGGAATTATGGGAGTTGGAGTCCAAAACACCTGGAGGGCCCAAGTTTGCCCATATCTGTATTAGAGTCCCAGGATTCAATAACTATTGGGAATTAGTAGGAATTGTGGGAGYTGGAGTCCAAAACACCTGGAGGGCCTAAGTTGGCCCATACCTGTATTAGAGTCCCAGGATCCCTTGGCTATTAGCTGTTAGGAATTGTGGGAGTTGGAGTCCAAAACACCTGGAGAGCCCAAGTTTGCCCATGCCTGTATTAAAGTGCCAGGATTCTGTGGCTATTGGGAATTAGTAGGAATTGTGGGAGTTGGAGTCCAAAACACCTGGAGGGCCCAAGTTGGCCCATGCCTGTATTAGAGTCCCAGGATTCCGTAGCTATTGGGAATTAGTAGGAATTGTGGGA